CTCCGCACGGGCCCCTGGCTGCCCCCCCGGGGGTCTCGGAGCAGCCCCTTCCCCTGCCCCCCCCAAAGGGAGCGGAGGAGACCCCCCTTCCCCCCGAAACAGAGAGAGAGGGACCCCGGCCGCTTCCCGCCTAATGTCTTGTGCCCTCCGTGCGTTTTGCAGATGCCCATCCATGAGCTTGTAGAAGACTTCTTGTGACCCCAAAATTAAACGCCAGCCCCCCGTGCACCTGTGGCGCCCAAGGAGTTAAAGCCCGGAGGTAACTTCCACATAGGTTTGACTCTATAAAAAACAAAAAAAGTGCAAAAAAGCACCCCCAAAACCCCATTTTCCATAGCTCCCCTGTTGTCCCCACACCCTGCGCCCCATAGCGTAGGCGCCCCCCTGCCCCAGCGCCCCTGTCCCCATGGGGCCCTTGCAGGTGGGACCAGCGTCCCCCCCCGTCCCTCCCGGCTGTGTTTTGGGTGACGAGTGAGTGCGAGCGGCTGTTGCGGGGCTGTTGGGCACCCCCGGCGCCGCCTGACGCCCCCCTGTCCCCCCCCCCAGGACTACCACAAGATCATCAAGCAGCCCATGGACATGGGCACCATCAAGCGGCGCCTGGAGAACAACTACTACTGGGGCGCCGCCGAGTGCATGCAGGACTTCAACACCATGTTCACCAACTGCTATATCTACAACAAGGTGAGGGGCCCGCGCGCCCCCCGCCCCGCCGTGGGGTCCCCCCGGCGCCGCTGACGCCCCCCGCACGTCTCCGCAGCCCACGGACGACATCGTGCTCATGGCGCAGACGCTGGAGAAGATCTTCCTGCAGAAGGTGGCGCAGATGCCACCTGAGGAGCAGGAGCTCGTGGTGCCCGTGGCCAAGAACAGCCACAAGAAGGGGGCGTCACGCGCGGCCGGTAGGTGCCGGGGGGTGCGGGGGACGCCGTCGGGGGGCTCCAGGCGCCGCCGCCGCTAACGGGCGCTCGGTGCCCAGCGCTGCTGGCGGGGCTGGCGGCGGCGCAGCAGGTCCCGGCCGTCTCGTCGGTGTCGCACGCGGCCGTCTACGACGCCGAGCTGCCCGCCGCGCTCGTGGGCCTCCCGCACGCCTCGGTCATCGCCGCGCCGCTGCTCAAGTCGCTACACGCCGGCGCCGCCGCCGCCCTCGCGGCGCCCACCCAGCCCGTGGCCAAGGTAGCAGCGCGGTCCCCGGCGCGGGACGGGCTCTGGGGGCTCCCCGCCACCGCGGCCCCATCGCCCCCCATCGTGTCGCCCTCCAGAAAAAGGGCGTCAAGCGGAAAGCGGACACCACGACGCCCACCACCACGGCCATCATCGCCACGAGCGGCGAGTCGTCGCCGTCGGCGGTGCCGCCCGACGCCAAGGCGGCCAAGGCGCCGGCGCGGCGCGAGAGCGGCCGCCCCATCAAGCCGCCGCGCAAGGACCTGCCCGACTCGCAGCAGCACCAGACCTCCAAGAAGGGCAAGCTCTCGGAGCAGCTCAAGTACTGCAACGGCATCCTCAAGGAGCTGCTCTCCAAGAAGCACGCCGCCTACGCCTGGCCCTTCTACAAGCCCGTCGACGCCTCCGCGCTCGGCCTGCACGACTACCACGAGATCATCAAGCACCCCATGGACCTCAGCACCATCAAGGTAGGAGGCCGGGCCGCGCGGGCGCCGCCGCCGAGCCCCACCGCCGGCGCGGCGCTCACGGGCCTTTCTCGCCGGCGCCGCAGCGCAAGATGGAGAACCGGGAGTACCGCGACGCGCAGGAGTTCGCCGCCGACGTGCGGTTAATGTTCTCCAACTGCTACAAGTACAACCCGCCCGACCACGACGTGGTGGCCATGGCCCGCAAGCTGCAGGTGAGCGGGGCCACCTAAGCCCCTGGTGTCACCTGTGTCCCTTGGCCACCCCCTGGACGCCCTCTCTCTCCGCAGGACGTCTTTGAGTTCAGCTACGCCAAGATGCCCGACGAGCCGCAGGCCGCCAGCCCGCCCTCGGCGTCGGCCCCGCTGCCCGGCGCGCTCTCCAAGTCCTCCTCGGACGAGTCCTCGAGCGACGACGAGGACGACGAGGACGACGACGAGGATGAGGACGACGAGAGCAGCAGCGAGAGCTCGTCGGAGAGCGAGGAGAGCTCTGACTCGGAGGAGGAGCGCGCCAACCGGCTGGCCGAGCTGCAGGAGCAGGTGAGGGCCGGCGCCGGGGGGCCGCGCGGCGCCCCCCGCCCGCGCCCCCCTCACCCCTGTCTCCCCCACAGCTGCGGGCCGTGCACGAGCAGCTGGCTGCCCTCTCGCAGGGCCCCGTCTCCAAGCCCAAGAAGAAGCGCGAGAAGAGGAAGAAGAGGAAGGCGGAGAAGCACAAAGGCCGCGACGACGAGGGCCACGCGCGCCAGGCCCAGCTGCGCAAGGCCAAGAAGGGCGGCGGTGGCGCCGGCGGCTCCAAGTGAGTTGAGGGGGGCACCGGTTTGGGGGCGCGCGGTGGCCGTAATGACCCCGTTCCCCGACAGAGCGACCGTGATGAAGCCCCCATGCCCACAAGTCACCCCCCGTTGGCGTTGCCCCCCGTTGGCATCGCCCCAGGTCCCACGTGGGGTTTTTTTGTCCCCGTTAGGGCCTCCAAGAAGGTGGCGAAGGCGCCGCTGCCGCCGCCGCCGGCGCTCTACGACTCGGAGGAGGAGGAGGAGAGCAAGCCCATGACGTACGACGAGAAGCGCCAGCTGAGCCTCGACATCAACAAGCTGCCCGGCGAGAAGCTGGGCCGCGTGGTGCACATCATCCAGGCGCGCGAGCCCTCGCTGCGCGACTCCAACCCCGAGGAGATCGAGATCGACTTCGAGACCCTCAAGCCCTCGACGCTGCGCGAGCTCGAGCGCTACGTGCTCTCCTGCCTGCGCAAGAAGCCCCGCAAGCCCTACAGCGAAAGTGAGTGTCGCGGTGACGTCGCGGTGACGTCGCGGCGACGCCTTTCCCCGTGCCGACATCTCCCCTGTGTCCCCCGCAGCCCTGAAGAAGCCGGTGGGGAAGACGAAAGAGGAGCTGGCGCTGGAGAAGAAGCGGGAGCTGGAGAAGCGGCTGCAGGACGTGAGCGGGCAGCTGAACTCGGCCAAGAAGCCGCCCAAGAAAGGTGAGGGCGGGCGTCGCGATAGGCCTGGGCTCTGTCGCGATAGGGGCGGCTGCAGCTCGACTTGGTCGAGAGGCCACTGAGTAAAGGTGAGTCCTTGGGTTTGGAGCGACCGTGTTGCGATGGTGGCCCCGGGGTGTTGCGATGGTGGCCCCGGGGTGTTGCGATGGTGGCCCCGGGGTGTTGCGATGGTGGCCCCGGCCAGGAAGCTGCAGCAGAAGGGCGAGTGCCAGGGTCAGCAGTGTTGCGATAGAGCCTGGTGCTGTCGCGATAGGGCCGGATGCAGCTCGACTTAGTCCAGAAACCACCCAGTCAAGGTGAGTCGTTGGATTTGGGGCGAGCGCAGGGGTTGGCGGCGTCGCGATAGTGGAGCATCGTCGCAATAGGGCTGGGTGCCCCTCTGTTATTCGGTTGAGGAGCCAGCAAGTCAAGGTGAGTCCTTGGGTTTGGGGTGACTGGCATCACAAGAGCAGCCTGGGGGCGTCGCGATAGCAGCATGGCCAAGAAGGCCGCAGAAGGGCGGGCAGCGGTGTCGCGATAGCGCCAGGCCCTGTCGCGATAGCGCCAGATGCAGCTCAGCTTAGCTGAGAACTCCCTGAGTCCAGGGGAGTCCTTGGGGTTGGGGCAACCGGCATCGCGATAGTAGCCCGGCCAAGAAGCTGCTGCAGGAAGGTGAGCATCAGCGTCACGATAGTGTCGGGCACTGTCGCAATAGGGTCGGATGCAGCTCGGCTTGGTCGAGAAAGCACCAGGTCAAGGTGAGTCCTTGGGGTTGGGGGAGACCAGCATCACGATAGTAGCCCGGTCAAGAAGCCGCTGCAGGAAGGTGAGTGTTGATATCGCAATAGCGTCAGGTACTGTCACGATAGGGTTGGGTGCAGCTCGACTTGGTCGAGAAGCCACCAGGACTAGGTGAGTCCTTGGGTTTGGGGTGAGCGGTGTCGCGATGTAGGTGAGCATGGGGCGTCAGGGCTGTCGCGATGGGGGTGAGCACGGAGGTCGGCACTGTCGCGATAGTCGGGTGCCGTCGTGATAGGGCCGGATGGAGCTCGGCTTGGTTGAGAACCCACCGGGTCACGGTGAGTCCTTGGGTTTGGGATGATGAGTGTCACGATGGAGGTGAGCGCAGGGGGCCGGCGCCATCACAACGGGGTCGGTGCCGTCGCGATAGTCAGGTGCCGTCGCGATAGGGCCGGATGGAGCTCGGCTTGGTCGAGAACCCACCGGGTCGAGGTGAGTCCTTGGGTTTGGGACGATGGGCGTCGCGACGGGGTCGGGCGTGGGGGTCAGTGCCGTTGCGATAGACAGGTACCATCGCGATAAGGCTGGATGGAGCTCAGCTTGGTCGAGAACCCACCGGGTCGAGGTGAGTCCTTGGGTTTTGGGATGATGAGTGTCGCGATGGAGGTGAGCACAGGGGGCCAGCGCCATCGCGATGGGGTCGGCACCGTCGCGATAGATGGGTACCATCGCGATAGGGCCGGATGGAGCTCGGCTTGGTTGAGAACCCACCGGCTCGAGGTGAGTCCTTGGGTTTGGGACGAGGGGCGTCGCGACGGGGGCGGGCGCGGGGGGCGGCGCCGTCGCGATACGGGGGCGTTGTCGCGATACGGGGGCGCTGACGCCCTGGCCCCCCGCCCCGCAGCGAGCGAGAAGGCGGAGGCGGCGCAGCAGGTGGCCGTGTCGCGCCTCAGCGCCTCCAGCTCCAGCTCGGACTCGAGCAGCTCTTCCTCCTCCTCCTCCTCCTCCGACACGAGCGACTCCGACTCGGGCTGAGCCCGGCGCAGGGAAGCACCCGCCCCCCCCGCGTGCCCCCCAACCCGCCGGGCCCCCCCCGGGGCTTGGACTGAGACCCCCTTTGGGGGCCGGGGACCCCCCCCCAGCGCTGCCCCCCATGGACTCGAGCGGCCCCCCACGTTTACGGGGGGAGGGGAGGGGGGGTTTGGGGGGTCCCAGCATGTGGGGTCCCCCCCCCAGCGGCTTTTACTGTTTGTTGTTTTGGGGTTTTTTTCCTGGGGAGGAGGGTGGGAAAGGAGGATTTTTTTTCCAAGGGGGGGAAGAAAAACCTGACGTTTGGGAATTTTTAAAAAATATACGTAAAAATTAAAAAAAAAATAAAATAAAAAAGCTAAAAAGCTTGGAGAAAAAAACAACAAAAACGAGAGGTAAGAGGGGGGCAGGGGCCGTGGCTGCCGCGTCCCCATTGGGGGGGCCGGGGACATGGGGGACAGCGGGTCGCACGGGGGGGGCGCCGCCGTCCCCCCCCACCCGCAGAGGCCGTTTCTTGGATTTTTTTCCCCTTTTTTTGATTTTTTTCTTTTTTTTTTTAATTTATTGGAACCGCGTCCGTGCTGGCGCGGGGGCCCCCCCGCGTTGTACATACCCCCCCCC